CCTGTCTGTGTCACTGAGCTAACCTGACTGTGTCACTGAGCTAACCCGACTGTGTCAGTGAGCTAACCCGACTGTGTCACTGAGCTAACCCGACTGCGTTAGCTCACAGGTTACACAAACAGGTTAGCTCACTGACAGTCGGGTCACTGAGCTAACCCGACTGTGTCACTGAGCTAACCCGACTGTGTCACTGAGCTAGCCCGACTGTGTCACTGAGCTAACCCGACTGTGTCACTGAGCTAACCCACTATGTCACTGAGCTAGCCTGTCTGTGTCACTGAGCTAACCTGACTGTGTCACTGAGCTAACCCGACTGTGTCAGTGAGCTAACCCGACTGTGTCACTGAGCTAACCCGACTGTGTCACTGAGCTAGCCTGTCTGTGTCACTGAGCTAACCTGACTGTGTCACTGAGCTAACCGACTGTGTCACTGAGCTAACCCGACTGTGTCACTGAGCTAGCCTGTCTGTGTCACTGAGCTAACCGACTGTGTCACTGAGCTAACCCGACTGTGTCAGTGAGCTAACCCGACTGTGTCACTGAGCTAGCCTGTCTGTGTCACTGAGCTAACCTGACTGTGTCACTGAGCTAACCCGACTGTGTCACTGAGCTAACCCGACTGCGTTAGCTCACAGGTTACACAAACATTTAGTCACTGACAGTCGGGTCACTGAGCTAACCCGACTGTGTCACTGAGCTAACCCGACTGTGTCACTGAGCTAGCCCGACTGTGTCACTGAGCTAACCCGACTGTGTCACTGAGCTAACCCGACTATGTCACTGAGCTAGCCTGTCTGTGTCACTGAGCTAACCTGACTGTGTCACTGAGCTAACCCGACTGTGTCAGTGAGCTAACCCACTGTGTCAGTGAGCTAACCCGACTGTGTCACTGAGTAGCCTGTCTGTGTCACTGAGCTAACTGACTGTGTCACTGAAGCTAACCCGACTGTGTCACTGAGCTAACCCGACTGCGTTAGCTCACGTTACACAAACAGGTTAGTCACTGACAGTCGGGTCACTGAGCTAACCCGACTGTGTCACTGAGCTAACCCGACTGTGTCACTGAGCCTAGCCCGACTGTGTCACTGAGCTAACCCGACTGTGTCACTGAGCTAACCCCGACTGTGTCACTGAGCTAGCCTGACTGTGTCACTGAGCTAGCCTGACTGTGTCACTGAGCTAACCTCACTGTGTCACGAGCTAGCCTGACTGTGTCACTGAGCTAGCCTGTCTGTGTCACTGAGCTAACCTGACTGTGTCATGAGCTAGCCTGAGTGTGTCACTGAGCTAACCCGACTGTGTCACTGAGCTAGCCTGATTGTGTCACTGAGCTAGCCTGACTGTGTCACTGAGCTAACCTCACTGTCACTGAGCTAGCCTGACTGTGTCACTGAGCTACCTGTCTGTGTCACTGAGCTAGCCTGAACTAGCCCGACTGTGTCACTGATGCTAACCCGACTGTGTCATTGAGCTAGCCGACTGTGTCACTGAGCTAACCCGACTGTGTCAGTGACCTAGTCTGTCTGTGTCACTGACTAGCCTGACTGTGTCACTGAGCTAGCCTGTCTGTGTCACTGAGCTAACCCGCACTGTGTCAGTGAGCTAACCCGACTGTGTCACTGAGCTAGCCCGACTGTGTCACTGAGCTAGCCCGACTGTGTCACTGAGCTAGCCGACTGTGTCACTGAGCTAGCCCGACTGTGTCACTGAGCTAGCCCGACTGTGTCACTGAGCTAACCCGACTTTGTCATTGAGCTAGCCCGACTGGTCACTGAGCTAACCCGACTTTGTCATTGAGCTAGCCCGACTGTGTCACTGAGCTAACCCGACTGTGTCCCACAGGCTAACCGCTGTGGTGGCGCTACCGTTCTACTGCGCTAGCCTCATCGAGACCGTCCAGGTGAGTCCTTACCATACCCCAAGCGTCACCCAGGAGACCAACGCTTCAGTTTCTGTACCAGCGGGTGGCCAAAATGTAACGGGTTGTTCGGGTCCTCTGACCTCTGACCCCCTACTGACCTCTGTCCCCAGAGTGAGATTGTCCGGGACGAGTCGTCATCTGGTCTGCTGGACTGCGTCCGTGAGGGTCTGACGCGGCTGCTGGGCGTCGGCGCCCCTCACAGCCGCCGCCTGCTTCCTCTCAGCTACCTGCTGCTTCCTGTGGCGCCCCCGCCATCCTGCGCTACGCGGTGGCGCCTCCGTCCAGCGGGCGGTGCTGTGGCTGCACCAGCGCGGCGGGGGGAAGCGCGCCCGGTCCCGTCCGACCCCCTGGACGCCTACTTCCAGAGCTGGCGGCGGCGTGGGCGGGGTCTCTGGCGGCGGACGTGCTGCTGTTCCCCCTGGACGGCCTGGCGCTGCACCGCCTCAGCCTGCAGGGGACACGCACCATCATCGACGCCACAGACGGGGCGGAGGTGGCGGGAGCGGCGGCAGCCCGCTGGTGCTGCCGGTCAACACGCAGTACGACGGCCTGGCGGACTGCCTGCACGCCAATCCGGAGGAAGGAAGGCGCCGCCGGCTTCTACCGCGGCTTCGGCGCGCTGATGGTGCAGTACTCGCTGCACGGCGCGCTGCTGGCCGCCGCCAGGACGCTGCTCAGGGTCGTGCTGCTGGACGCCAGGGCCTGCTGAGGCGTCGCCATGGAGACGTCATGACCACAGACTTTGGTAATTGGCTGATAAGCTGCAGACTGAAGGTTCGATGGGGTCACTGCTTACATCATTTCCACATCCTCTCCTCTGATCGACTTAGATTCTGTCTCCTATTGGCTGCTGGAAAACAAACGTGATGTAAACAAGCGATCCGCCCAGCAGATTCTGTGTATAAAAGTGTAAAAAATGAAACGTTGTCTGTGAAAATGTAGATTCAAATTAAATTATTTGTGATTCGTTGACAAATAAATACTGAATTTTCCTCCTCATAATTGAAAATAAATAAATTGTCAGATGTTAACCTGTGAAACAAACTCTTCTTCTACACATTTACAGTAGAGCATTCTGGGTAAGAATGACTGGTGGGGGCGGAGCCATCACTCTGATCAACCAATCAGGAGAGCCCAGAGAGTCAGTTGAGACAAGCGACCAATCAGCAGCTGGATGAACCTCCAGGTTTCCTTCATAGCGTTTAGTTGTTATGGTGGCGGTTCACCATGGAGGGCTTTCTGCTACCTGAAGGTCAGAGGTCAGGCCTGGCTCATCAGGGAACTGCAGGTTACCCTTCATACAGGGTTCATACTGGTCATGAAAAACCTGGAAAGTCATGGAATTTTGCAAATATGGACAAAAAAGTGCATTTTGTTTCTGTGGTTCTCTGGGACTCCCGGAGGACCAGGGAATCTTGTTCCCTCACTATAACCTGCAGTTATGAGGCAGAATGAATCCTTTCTTACAGCGGCCGCTGCATTTCTGCCTTAATACAAGGTTATGGGAGCTTTTTCCATGAATGCTAATATGTCTTAGTGAAATTTCTGAAGGTTTATATCTTTTTCTTTAGGCACCAAAAACATGATTTAAACAGAAACTTTCCATAAGTAGAAAAGCAGTAAACATACATCCTGATTTGGGCCATTTCTGAGTCATCATTGTAGGGTGATAAATAAAAACTGATAGTTTTATGGTGTCTCTGTTGTGCTGGTTGGTTGAAGGCTCTACAGTGGCAGGAAGCCACAAGGTCAGTGTGTCTGTGTTTGTCCTGCCCGACTGGCTTGTGTCCTCCATCTGATCATCTGAGACTGTCCGTGCCGTTTGTAGCAATGGGCTGGGATTGTGGTGTGTTTGGTGCTGTGCATTTCTGCAGCGTCGCTCTGCTGCTGTTGGTGGCTGCGGCTGGCGGTTGTTACGGCCTCCATCTTGTCCTGACCTGCTGATCCGCTCCCTGCAATGAGATTTTACTTTACCTCAATCCGGTTAATGAGTTTTCTGTTTTAGGCACAAGATTTTTCTGGAGCTGGAGCTCTGGACGTCCTGCTGTCTTATCTTGCCGGTGTTTGTTTGGGGCGCTCTGGATTGAAACTGTTACTGCTTGGAAAGGCCGGTGGACAGGGTGGTGGACGGGTTGGTGGACAGGGTGGTGGACGGGTTGGTGGACAGGGTGGTGGACAGGGTGGTGGACAGGGTTGGTGGACGGGTTGGACAGAGTGGTGGACGGGTTGGTGGACGGGTTGGACAGAGTGGTGGACGGGTTGGTGGACGGGGTGGTGAACGGACCGGTGGACAGGGTGGTGAACGGGTTGGTGGACAGAGTGGTGGATGGGTTGGTGGACAGGGTGGTGGACAGAGTGGTGGACGGGGTGGTGAACGGACCGGTGGACAGGGTGGTGAACGGACCGGTGGACAGGGTGGTGAACGGACCGGTGGACAGGGTGGTGGACGGGTTAGTGGACATGTTTGCTTTCTTTTGTTTTGATTTACTAATTTGTTTTGTTTTGCATTGCATGTTTGTTTTTGTTTTTTTGAATAATTGCCTTTCTTCATGAACCTGTTGTACACAGAGCCCTGCTCATATGATCTGCTGCTGCCCCCTGGTGGCTGGGAGAGGTCTGACCTGCTGCTTCTCTAGAGAAAAATAACAACATACAGTTAAAATAAGAGCAGATAAAAGAACTGGAGAGTAGTAGGAGGAAGTGGTCGGTTTGTCCTCCAGCAGGCCAGAGGTGGGTCATAACTACCTGCATTTACTCAATTATATTCACTGGAGTGACTTTTATTTTGGTAGAGACAAGATGGAGCCCGTAACACCAGCTTTGAGGCTAACAACTGTTGAGCTAGTTATTCATAGCAGTAACGCTGCCTCTCATTATTATATAATTACCTGATTTTATACATCACTGTGACGGAAACGTGTCTCTCCGAAACCTTTCCCCCTCGGGGCGGAACCAATGTTCTATCCTGCTGTGTTTTCCGGTCGGACAAAGTTCCTCGGCGCTCCTCCATGTGTGATCTGGGCTCGCGCTCCGCTCTCGGTTCTTCTCGGTTCTGTTTTGTTGTTTATTGTTTTATTAGCGGTCTTTGAACATGCCGCGCACCGGAAGCGCCCTGTTCTCCGGGTTCCGGGTTCTGGGTCTCTACTCCAACCACGTGCCGCACGCGCTCCGGTACCACCAGAAGCACCGGGAATTCTACGTGGTGACGTCAGTGGGCAAAAGCTTCCACACGTTTAACGTAAGATGAAAGTGATCGATGCTGATTATTGGAGTTTAATCTGACGGTGATCAGCAACCGATCAGAGGAGAGGGTGACGTCAGAGTGGGAGGATGCATGGGGTTGAATGGTTGGATGATGACCGGATGGATGGACAGCTGGCTGACTTGTGGATGATTGGATGCTGGTTGGATGGATAGTGATGATGTCACAGCTCACCTGTGCTGGTTTCCTGCAGGTGAGCCGCCTGGGGATCGTTTCTGTCAGTGAGTATTGGAACTTTACGCTGATGATGCGGCAGATCGATTCCCTCTGATTGGTCGTGGTGTAACACTGTGGTCACCTAGGTAACAGCCTGCCCGATGACATCACGTGCCTGGCGGCGGATCGGATGTTGGTGTTTGCTGCAAGCGGAACGACTGTCTGTGCCTTCGCCAAAGAGGCAGGAGAACTTCCTGTTGGCCGCCGGTGCTGTGTTCGTTTCTGCCTCTCTATAAAGTTCTTTTTGAATCTCCATCCAGGTGGTGATGCGTTACCATGGACACAAACAGGAAGTGCAGCTGCTGCTGCCGCTGGTGACCATCTGGTCTCTGTCGACAGCGGTGGTGATGTCATCGTGTGGGACGTTCAGGGAGGAGGTGAGCAGAGGGGGCGGGGCTTCAGTCTTCACCTGAGCTGGCTTCCATCGTCTTCCATCTTGGTCTGCTTTGTGGCTTCCAGACATCTACCTGCGGCTGAACTTTGACCCCGGGGCCTTCGACGTGTCGGCCATGATGCACCCGAGCACGTACCTGAACAAGGTGCTGCTGGGCAGCCGCCAGGGGGGCGTGCAGCTGTGGAACGTCAGGACCAGGTGGGGGCGCCGCCCTCCGCTCTGCTACCGCAGACTGTGTTGCCATGGCGATGCTCACCGGCCTCCTTTTCCTCCTCAGTAAACTGCTGTTCACGTTTCCTGGCTGGTCGGCGGCGGTCACCGTCCTGCAGCAGGTCAGAAGTCGGCTGCTTGGTCCTGATTGGTCGGGTGTCTGGGGGGGCGGGGCTTGGTTTTGGTTCTGCTGAATGTAATCTGAAGCACAAAGCTGGTCATGTTTGTAACGTTGAGTGGTGACTAATAAAGTTTTCTCGAGAGGTGACCGACCGTCTGCTTCCTCCCCAGAGTCCAGCGGTGGACGTGGTGGGCATCGGCACGGCAACCGGACGCATCATCATCCACAACATCCGTCTGGATGAGACGCTGATGAGCTTCATGCAGGACTGGGACCAATCAGCACGCTGGCTTTCAGGACAGGTAGTCTCACCTGAGTGGGTCCAGTAGCTGGTGCGTTAGCGGGTCTGTTAGCGTACAGACACATACAGACCTGCTAACGCTAGCAGATAACGCAAGCATCTGTTAGCTGACCCGTTAGCCTCCATTAGCAGAAAAAGTCAGTGTCTATTAGCGGGTTCTTTTAACATTAGAGGATCTGTTAGCACGTCCATTAGCACCTGCTAGCAGGTCTGTTAGCATGTCCATTAGCACCTGCTAGCGGGTCTGTTAGCACGTCCATTAGCACCTGCTAGCGGGTCTGTTAGCACGTCTATTAGCACCTGCTAGCGGGTCTGTTAGCAGGTCCATTAGCTCCTGCTAGCGGGTCTGTCAGCACGTCCATTAGCACCTGCTAACGGGTCTGTTAGCACGTCCATTAGCACCTGCTAGCGGGTCTGTTAGCACGTCCATTAGTACCTGCTAACGGGTCTGTTAGCAGGTCCATTAGCTCCTGCTAGCGGGTCTGTTAGCACGTCCATTAACACCTGCTCACGGGTCTGTTAGCAGGTCCATTAGCTCCTGCTAGCGGGTCTGTTAGCACGTCCGTTAGCACCTGCTAGCGGGTCTGTTAGCACGTCCATTAGCACCTGCTAACGGGTCTGTTAGCACGTCCATTAGCACCTGCTAGCGGTCTGTTAGCACGTCCATTAGCACTGCTAACGGGTCTGTTAGCGTTATCGGGTCCATAGATCTGCTCTCTCCCAGATGGGCCTCCCGTCATGGCGTCCGGCAGTCCACAGGGACACATTGCATTGTGGGACTTGGCGCGTCAGCAGCTGATCGCCCAGCAGAGACACGCCCACCGAACAGCTGTTGCCGCGGCGACGTTCCTTCATGGAGAGCCGCTGCTGGTCACCAACGGCGCCGACAACGCTATTAAGGTCAGCGAGTTGAAACGACCGGTCGCTCTGTTTTGGATCCTGTGACCTTTAACCTTTGTCTTCATCAGGTCTGGATATTTGACCAGGAGGGGGGCGGGGCCAGACTCCTCAGGTGCCGACAGGGCCACAGCGCTCCGCCCACCACCATCCATCACCATGGCAACGATGGGAAGAACATCCTCAGCGCAGGTAAGAGAACCAGATGGTTCCTCGTCGGGTTCCCGGTCTCACCAGAGCCTTTGCTGCCCCCTGCAGGTCAGGACGGCTCCCTGCAGTCCTTCTCCACCGTCCATGAGCGTTTCAACAAGAACATGGGTCACGGTCAGTCCGACGCCAGGAGCTCCTTCTGGGTCTCTTTGTTGCCCTGGATCCACTCCGCTGGTTCTACAGCAAAATGCTTTTCTGTTTCAGGATCCATCAGCAAGAAGAAAGAGAAGAAGAAGAAGAAAAAAGGGTTGACTTTTGAGGAGCTGCGACTTCCTGCTATCACAACGCTAGCTTCAGGTGGGTTTTACCTGATGGCCGATGGTGGCTAGTGGCTGCTAATGGTGTCTAGTGGTAGCTAATGGTGGCTAGTGGCTGCTAATGGTGGCTAGTGGTAGCTAATGGTGGCTAGTGGCTGCTAATGGTGGCTAGTGGTAGCTAATGGTGGGTAGTGGTAGCTAGTGGCAGCTAGTGGTAGCTAATGATGGCTAGTGGTAGCTAGTGGCAGCTAGTGGTAGCTAATGATGGCTAGTGGTAGCTAGTGGCAGCTAGTGGTAGCTAATGATGGCTAGTGGTAGCTAGTGGCAGCTAGTGGTAGCTAATGATGGCTAGTGGTAGCTAGTGGCAGCTAGTGGTAGCTAATGATGGCTAGTGGTGGCTACTGACATTTTAATAGTGGTTAATGGCGGCTCACTGTCGGGATGCAGAAGCACAGAAATAGTCGCCAGATTTTTCACAAGTTGTTGTTTTAATAAAAAGTCTGAAAAATGTGAAGTGCACAACTGAGATCTACACAAAAGTCAGGGAACAAAAGCAATCTTTAATATGGAGAGCAAGAATCAAAATCTGCTCTAATGAACTTAGAGTTGCATAGTTGCTTTATTCTCCTCTCTGCTAACAGAAGCAGAGACTCAATCTTCAAGGACCAATCAAAGGAAAACAGATGGAACAGTTCAACCTCATACGCTCATAACTATCATGTCTACAGGATGTGAAAACTAAACACTCTGTCTCCATGCAGGGAAAAACAGCAAGTTCCCAAATAACCGTCTGGGAACTTCAACAGAAACATCTTGTTTATTTGTATGCAGCTGCATGAAAAACATGTCGACTATAATGCGATAGGGTCAGGGTTGGGGTCAGGGGTTGGGGTCAGGGTTGGGGTCAGGGTCAGGGTCAGGGTTGGGGTCAGGTCAGGGTTGGGGTCAGGGTCGGGGTCAGGGGTTGGGGTCAGGGTTGGGGTCAGGGGTTGGGGTCAGGGTTGGGGTCAGGGTTGGGGTCAGGGTTGGGTCAGGGTCAGGTGTTACGTAACACTGCATGATGCAAATGAAACATTTTCTCTTTAAAAATCTACTTCACAAAAACAAAATGTCGCCGATGTGGATGAATGGAAACATGATAACCCCGCCCCCTTCATCAACGCAGCCATGACTTTTGGCTCCGCCCTGTTTTTTCTAAACAAGGCGGTTAGTTACCGTGGTTACCTTGTCCTCCAGCTGTGGCTCGCCAGTCAGACTGGGACGGCGTCGTGGCGCTCCACCGCGGCCGCCTCGCCGCCTCCACGTGGAACTACCACAGGTGCACCATGGGAGCTCACCACCTGAAGCCGCCTGCTCCGGGGAGGAATGCTGTTGCCACGGTAACGGCGTGACACGGATACCGCCGCGTTGCGTCTGAGCCCCGCCCCTCTGGATTGATTCAATGACTTCCTGTCTTTCCAGGCTGTTGACATCACTTCCTGTGGGAACTTCGCTGTGATTGGCTCGTCCTGTGGACATGTGGACGTCTACAACCTGCAGTCTGGTCTGCACCGTGGTTGCTATGGCGACGAGGAGAAAGGTGAGCCCTGATTGGCTCTGGTCCGATCGGTCGACCGAACGTCCGTCCCTTTGACCTCCGCCCTCTGTCCCGCAGCGCACAGGGCGTGGTGCGAGGCGTCGCCACGGATACTCTCAACCAGCTGACCGTCAGCTGCGGCTCTGATTGGCTGCTGAAGTTCTGGCGATTTAAGACGAGAAAACAGGAAGCGGTTCTGAAGCTGAGCGCGCACCGGCGAGCCTGAGGCTTCACAGAGAGAGGTGAGTCAGGAACCGAGACGGGAACCGAGACGGGAACCAAGAACTGCTCAGTGAGGAACTGAGCATGCTCAGTCTGCGCCGCTCACTGACTCGCCCACTGTGTCCCCAGTGGGATGGTCGCCATGGCGCTGGACAACTTCACGCTGGTGGTGGCGGACATCGAAACCAGACGGATCGTCAGGAAATTCGCTGGTCACCATGGCAACATCACTGACATGGTGGGCAGCTGCTGGTCACTGATTGGCTCTGGTCGGCTCTGGTCGGCTCTGGTCGGCTCTGATTGGCTCTGGTCGGCTCTGGTCGGCTCTGGTTGGCTCTGACCCAGTCTGACTCTGACTCGCTGTCTTCTCTTGTCCTCCATCTTGGTTTCCTCCTAAGACCTTCAGCCCAGACGGCCGCTGGCTGGTTACCACGGCGATGGACCGCACCATCAGGACCTGGGACCTCCCCTCTGGCAGGTGAGCTGTGACATCATGGAGGAGAAGCAGGAAGCCCCGCCCTCTCGTTAATCCATCCTCTCTCTCCTCAGTCTGGTCGACTGCTTCCTGGTTGCTATGGCGCCGGTTGGCGTTTCCATGTCGCCGACCGGAGACTTCCTGGCAACAGCACATGTGGACAGTCTGGGCGTTTACCTCTGGTGTGGACCAATCAGAGAGCGGCAGGTTTCTGATTTCTGGTCGGGTCTTGTTTCAGCCAATCACAGTCCAGCTCTTCTTCTCCAGGACCAATAGGAGCCTGTGTGGGCCGGTGGGGCTCCGCCCCCTCCCAGCTGACTACCAACCAGAGGAGGAGACGCTGCCCAGTGCCGCTGCCGCCCTGATGGAACAGGAAGTGACCTCAGAGGAGTCTGAAGACGGGTTCCAGTCGGCTGAGCAGCTGGGGGCGGAGCTTGTGACGCTGTCGCTAATGCCCGAGTCTCGGTGGAAAAGTCTGCTGCACCTGGACGCCATCAAGGTGAGCTGGGTGGCTGCGGTTGTAGGAGAGATCAGCTGACCCCTCCCTCACCTGTTGCTGTTGCTTGCAGAGGAGGAACAGACCGCTGGCGCCCCCTGCTGCTCCGCCCACTGCCCCCTTCTTCCTGCCAACACTTCCTGGTCTGACGCCTCAGTTCGCGTTGCCCTCGACAACAAAGGAGGACTCACAGGTCAGCCAATCAGAGGCCAGCCCCTCCCCAGCCTGTTTCTGTCACCTGACCCAGAGTGTCTAAATATGGCCGTGTTTCCTGTCAGTCCAAGGTGCTGCCATGGGGTTCACTGGCTCAGAGGTCAGAGTTCGCAGCAGCTCTGGAGTCGGCCCTGGACTCCGGATCGTGTGAGTCCATCTGTACCCTTCAAAATAAAAGCACCATTCTAACTAACTTCACTTTAAAGTTCTATTTGAATGAAAGTTGAGATTTTAGGAACTAAAATTGAATATTGAATACGAGTAAAACTTTAGAATCCTAAGTGAAGAACCGGACTGAGGCGAGTCGTCATGCTGTGTTGCATGACTTTGTGTTTTTGATGTAAAGCGCTTTGAAATGCCTTGTTGCGGAAATGTGCAATACAAATAAAATTTGATTGATTGATTGATATAAATTCTTTAATTTAGACTCAGTGCTTTTATTTTGATAATCTGTGGTGAACTTCCTGTGTCCGTCTTTAACGCTCCTAGTCGATCAGCCTCTGAGGCTCCTGAAGGATTGTGGGCCTGCAGGCGTTTCTGTGGAGCTCACCTGTCTGACGTCAGAAGGGGGCGGAGCCAACAGCCTCCTGCTCGCCTTCATCCAGATGATTGACAGCATGCTGGCCGGTGGGCGGGACTTCGACCTGGCTCACGCTTACCTGGCTCTCTTCTTGAAGGTGAGCTCGTCAGAGCACAGCTTTGGTCTTTTATTGTGAAAGAGCCCCAGCTTCCTGTTTACCTGCAGGTTTGTTTTGTTTTCAGCTCCATCTGCGCACGTTGTCGCAGGATGCTGTTGCCATGGAGACGTTGCTCCGCCTCTCCTCCAGACTGGAGTCTGGGTGGGCGGAGCTTCAAGCATCGTTCAACCAATCACTGTGTCTGCTGTCGTACACAAAGAGTGCACTGCTGTGACACACATAAAATAAAGTGTTTCCTGGTTCTGTTGCTCTGTGATTGATTGATCTGGGCTGATGAAAGTCATCTGCAGAGGTCAGAGTGCAGAGGTAAAAACGATACCGTGAAACGAAGACAGGAGATCCAGACCATCATCTTCACCACCATCATCATCATCGGTTTCATCTATTGATCTTTTGTAACGAGCAGCTTCCTCCCAGCAGGAAGTGAAACAGAAACTGATTCCGTTCTTGTCTGGTTTATGGTTTAGGGATCAATTTTATGATCAATGTATTGTGTGTTTATTTGTTCTGGGTCAATACACATCACCTACTCGTGATCAAAGCTGGGTTTCGTCAGTATAAATACGTTACAGTAATATGTAAATGTTCCCTGAACTGATGACAGGAAACTGATCATAAAGGCAATAATTAATTGTTCTCATTAACATCTAAACTAGCAGAATTATGCCAGCAGCTGGATTTCTGCACGTTTTGATCTGCTCTGAAAAGGCGTGACTTTTGACCTTTGACCTCCTGTCTCAGATCAAGACAGAAGCTACAGGCCGGTTGCCCCTGGTAACAGGAAGTCCTGATGTTATTGATCATCTTTTGGTAATTGGTTGAAAAGTGAAATCTGAACATAAATATATTTTTTTTACATTTTTCATTTGACTCGTTGAGTTTTCAGTTTTGTGATTCTGCAGGATTTGATCTTTTATCTCTGATTGGTTCATTTAGAATAAACTGCCTGAAGATCTTTTTGTCTCTTTCCAACTCAAAGTGGTTTCATATCTATAAATCCGTATTTAATCAGCTCGGTGACTCGGACTTCTTGGTTAAACCCACAATTTTACCCACATGGATCCGTAGTGTGAAATAACGGATCATATTAATAAATAGAAAATCTTTATAAAACTGACTGGTATGAAAAACGTATCGTATTTGAACTGACTTAATGGATAGTGAAGGTGTTTGTTAAATCATAGAGATTTAATCTGAACTGTTCTTGTGATGAATATGTAAAAGTATGCAGAGATATTCCTGCAGCTCTGGTCCATGTCATCCTGCAGATATTCCACTGTTACTTCATCTTTACCAAAATGAAGAGTGGAGAATAACTGATAGAAAGAGCAATGATGTAATGCATGTGACTGGCTGCCAAACGAAATTATTTAAGGATTGTGATAATAACAACATATTTGTCTAGAATTGAGAAAGTATGTAAAATGGCCGGTTAAAGGCACACTTCAAAATCTCACAGCTTTTACCCAGTGGCTGAATTTTTGCACAAAAGATTGAAATTTGATTCAATGTATTTTTTGTAAATGTCCAGAAGGTCCATTAATTATCTCTTTTCCTTTTCAACTATGGAGAGACATTAAAGTGGTTGTGTCTTAAAATTGAGGACATCCCAGAGAAAAGCATCACCCACGATTACTATATTGATGACTTTGATAGTCAAATATCTGACCTGGGAAATATTGTTTTCTTGCTTGTTAAATGTCATATTAAATGTCATAAACCCTGCCGTAAATTCCTAATTAATTTAAACCTCATTGAAATATTTGAAATGTGTAACTGCTCTCTACTTCCTTTAGTTTTAAATTTTGCTCTATTTTTTCATTTGCTTTATTCTTATGTGTTTCTGTTTCTATGTTGTAACGAGTCTTTGTACTGCTCGTCTAAAAAAAAACGAAACTTTTTGCCCAGGTAGTGACGTCAGCGCTGCGCTGACTCAGCTCAGTCAAACCGGAAAGAAAACAGCGCAGCGCGCAGCCGCAGTAGCAGGCTGGGCTCGCGACGTCCTGCGGGTAAAAACGTTTCAAACTTTTGTTCGAATTTGGAAAAACTTTAATTTCCCCGTTTCCTGTCTTCATGATCAGCTGACGCAATGCTGACGTCATCACACAGGTGAAGGAGCGCGAGGGCGGCTGCCGACTGGATCAAACCGGAAGTGAGGAAGAGGAGTTTGAAGTTTGGAGCTGCAGGTAAAGTTGTTGCTCAGATTGGAAACCAGATTCCATCCATGACTAAAGAGGAACTGGCGGGTTGAAGTACTGACGTCGTTATTACCTGGTACCTGCGTTACTACACCTTGGACCCACCAGAACCAGAACCGCTTTCAGCTCCAGAACTGCTCATGTTGCTCAGTCTAGATCCGTCAGAGCAGAAGCTGCAGATTTAGAAAATTGGAAAGAGACCTGCTCACGACCTGTGGAGCCGCGTGATGATGTCACTTTCGGTTGTGACGTCATTGCGTCCGGAGTGTGCATGCCGCACTATTACGTCACAGGCTGGTTCTTTTCAGATCAGAACCTCTGGAACACAGACTTGAGACTTTTGCATGGTTCTGGTTCTGGTTCCACATGGTTCTGGTTCCACATGGTTCTGGTTCCACATGGTTCTGGTTCCGGTTCCACGTGGTTCTGGTTCTGGTTCCACTTGGTTGTGGTTCCGGTTCCACATGGTTCTGGTTCTGGTTCCACATGGTTCTGGTTCCGGTTCCACATGGTTCTGGTTCCGGTTCCACATGGTTCTGGTTCCACATGGTTCTGGTTCCACATGGTTCTGGTTCCGGTTCCACATGGTTCTGGTTCTACTTCCACATGGTTCTGGTTCCGGTTCCACGTGGTTCTGGTTCTGGTTCCACTTGGTTGTGGTTCCGGTTCCACATGGTTCTGGTTCTGGTTCCACATGGTTCTGGTTCCGGTTCCACATGGTTGTGGTTCCGGTTCCACATGGTTCTGGTTCCGGTTCCACATGGTTCTGGTTCCACATGGTTCTGGTTCCTGAACCTCCAGTTTGAGTGTTTTACATGTTCCAGCCTCTGGAAGTTCTAATCAGAACCAGAACCGGTCCTCATCGGTCGAGTTCTCCTCCTGCCTACGTTTCCCATCATGCACCTGCCCATTCTAACCTGGCTGTCTCTTGGTTGCCATAGCAATGAAGAGGGGCCGGGTGCTGCAGGTCCTAGTGGGCGGAGTCTTCTGCCTGGCTGTGATGTCACTGTACCGCATGCTGGAGCTGATGCAGGGGGCGGAGCCTGACCGGGGCGGGGGCTCACCTGTCGGCCAGGTGCAGGAAGTAGGTTCTCGGTTCTGCCAGGGTCCGGGAGGCCCACGGCTCAGTCAGCCAATCAGGTGTCTGTGTGCAGGATTTGTCCCGCCTCCAGCTGAAAATCGACAGATTGGAGCGCCTCCTGGTGGACAACAACCAGCTGGTCGCTCGGCTGCGGGACTCGCTGCTGGCCAGAGAGTCACCGAGGGAGGAGGCGGGGTCAACGTCAGCTCAAACTCCGCCCACAACCGAGCGGCTCCGCCTCCAGGCTGCCAGAAGGCCGAAGAGATGAAGGACGGCGCCGACGGAGTGCAGGTGAGCTGAGCGTGCTCAGAGCAGTTTGTCTGATTGGACGGTTGCTGATCCCATCAGAACCCATCAGAACTGTCTGTTTCCTCCTCAGCTGCTGGACGTCTACGACCTCTTGCCCTTTGACAACCCCGACGGCGGCGCCTGGAAGCAGGGCTTCCAGATCAGTTACCGTGGAGACGAGTGGGCGGAGCAGCCGCTGGAGCTCTTCCTGGTTCCCCACTCCCACAACGACCCGGGTGAGTGGGTGGAGCCGGGCCTGGAGGTGGAGCCTGAGGTTTGTGAAGTGACCGATTGCTCTGTGTTTCAGGCTGGCTGAAGACGTTTGACGGTTACTACCAGGACCAGACCAGACATATACTGGACAACATGCTGGTGAAACTGGGAGAGGACAGCAGGTAGGCCACTGGTGCAGACCGGTCCAGAACTGAGCGGCCCTGCTGGCTGAGCTAGCGGTGTCGGCCCGCTACAGACGCTCTGCTGCTTGTTGGTCCCAGGAGGAAGATGATCTGGGCTGAGATCAGCTACTTCTCCCAGTGGTGGAGCGACATCGATGACCAGAAGAGGGCGCTGGTCAGACGGTAACCTTCATCAACGCTCTTCTTCATCCTCAGTCAGCTGACTGAGTGGGCTGGGGTCACATGTTTCCTGTCTGCTCTGTGATTGGCCAGCCTGGTGGGGGCGGGGCAGCTGGAGCTGGTGACGGGCGGTTGGGTCATGGCGGATGAAGCAAACTCTCACTACTTCGCTATGCTGGATCAGCTGATGGAGGGCCACCAGTGGCTGCAGACTCACCTGGGTAAGGCTCACCTGTCTGCGCGGCCGAGGCTCCGCCCTCGTCGCTGACGCTGTCTGTCTGCAGGCGTGAAACCGAGCAGCGGCTGGGCCGTCGATCCCTTTGGCCACTCCCCCTCCATGACGTACCTGCTGAAGGGGGCGGGGCTTAGCAACATGCTGATCCAGAGGGTGCACTACTCCATCAAGAAGCACTTCGCCCAGCAACGGACGCTGGAGTTTCTGTGGCGACAGAGCTGGGGTGAGACAGAGGACAAGAGACTCTGAGCCCGCTGATGTTAATGTTCTGACTCCGCCCACTTCCTGTCTTCCAGACTCCTCCTCCCGCAGTGACATCACATGTCACATGATGCCGTTCTACAGCTACGACGTCCCACACACCTGCGGCCCGAACCCGGCCGTCTGCTGCCAGTTCGACTTCCACCGCCTGCCAGGGGGGCGGGTCTTCTGTCCCTGGAGGATCCCGCCACAGCCAATCACAGAGCAGAACATCAAGGAGAGGTGAGCAGGGGGCGGGCCACAGCCACACACCTGATATACCTGATGTTTAATATGTGGCGAGGTCAAGAGGAATGTTAATGGAACCAGAATTTTTATTTTGAAAGGCCAACATCCTGTTTAGTCGCCTGCTTTGAGTTGTTGAAAATGCTGCAGTGGCTCTTACTGAGCATGCTCAGAAGGGTGATGCCCCTCCTCCAGCAAGGAGGCTGAACACCAGACTGCCTCTTCCTCCCAGAGCTCTGCTCCTATTGGACCAGTACCGGCAGAAGTCCCGCCTCTTCCGCTCCTCGGTGCTGCTGGTTCCTCTGGGGGACGACTTCCGCTTCGTGGAGTCCAGGGAGTGGGACGCACAGTTCAGCAACTACCAGAAGCTGTTCGACTTCTTCG